TTTTTATCAACTGCAAAATAAATTGTTTAATAAAACATGACTCCGTTGGAATTAAAAAAAAAAAAAAAAAAAAAAAACTACTTTTAAATATAAATGATAAAATATGATGCTATATACTTTTATTGTACCACGAGTTGATCGCATCGTAAAAATTCTTTATAACCCACCTATTCGGCCTCATCTGAATCGAACAAAATAAAGACCAAAGATCATCTTACAATTAAAGCGATTTCTATCAATTAAAAACAAAGTACGATCCAGCTTCTTAATAAAAGGCACTTTTATCGAACCTATATACTCCAACATTTTTTTTCACGTAGATTAGAATATCCTTAATAAATTAAGCAAATTTTCCCGAATAAATTAATTAGTTTTAGTTTCTTTAGCGAAACCATCTAACATATTCAAGATAATTCACATAAAACTTTTACTGACATTGTCAATATTATAAAAAATTAGTACTTTATTTTATGAAATATTTCCCTTTCATTAAAAAGACTTTTAAATAATTCTCGTGTAAAAAAGCAAAAGAAAAATGGAAACTAAAAGTTTAACAAACTCAACTAAAGTAACCACAAAAAAACCTCAACAAAAGAAATTAAGAGTTGATATACCTAAACATTTAGATATTAATAATGTATATAATCCAAAATATGATGTTATCCAATTAATTTCTACTAAAAGTAAATTATGTGCTTCCAAAAATCCACCTAGACCACCAAACAGTTATTTTTTGATGAAAAATTGTTACATGTTAGAATTAAGAGCAATTGGTTTAAGGTTTACAATGCCAGAATTATGTATCCAATCAAAACAACTGTGGAAAGAGGCACCAAATGAAGTGAAAAAACGTTACAATGAAATACAATTAAAAGCTCAAAGCATCCACAATGAATTGTATCCAGAATATAAATTCAGACCAAGAAAAGGACAAAATCTTAAAATATCCGTTTCTCCCCACAAAAGTGCTGCTAATATTACAACTTTTCCTTCCACAAATTATTTGAAAAGACCTGCTTCTCGATTGGATAATTATTCATCATTGGAATCTGAAGTCAGATCTACAGCACTTTCTAGTTCTTCGGATCCCCTCAAAACCAATTATTCGTTAGAAATTTCTACCCCTATATTTTCTGATTCCCTTGAATACTCTCCTTCACTTTCAAATAAATTGGATCAAAATTATATTGATAATGATATAACACCTTTTTCATTTTCGAATGAAGAATTTAATGAATCGTTAGAAAGTTTTGAGCCATCTTTAGATTTTAGTCAAAATTTTCAACCTTTACAATTATCGTACTCATATAACCCAAACGAAATTTTAAATGTTTCTATAGGCCCAGATAATAATTTTTTTGACCAAGAACAAAGTTTCAATCTTATAGAAAACAATGAAAACAATGGATATGAATTTTTTCCATTTCATTAGAAAACCTAAATGCAATATTTCTTTCTTTCTTGTAATATTTTTCGTTTCTTTTTCTTCCTTTTTTCTTTCCCTTTTTTTATGCCATTTTCATATTTTGTAAATTTTTCAGCGGAACATTTTATTTAGTATATATATATCGCATATTAATTTCTTAAACCGTCAATAATCAAAAATGTTGGAACTTCTGTTTTATTTTTTACTTCTCTATGATTGAATACCCTTTAAGTTTACGACAAAAATCCTTTCTATATTATTAAAATTCTTTTCGATCTCTTTCTATTCGGAACTATTTACTGTAGTTCTTTGCCTCCATTTTCTATGATCATTACAAAGTATTCCTTGTTTTTATCTAAAGCGATGCAATCGATTCTGATCATAATATTATTTTTGAATTTAAAAATAAAAGTTATAATTTTAAATGGCATTAAAAAAAATTGGACGACACGTGTGACAAATTCCAAATGCAAAATATCACCTAGATTGATTGCTGCCGTCATGCGTCATTTAAAAAAGTATAATAGAAATATATTTTTTAATATAAAAAATTAATAAAAAATTTAATGTGATAATAATTATCTAAATATTGAGTATTGGTGAATATTTTTATTAATAAAATGTTTAATTATTATTATCTTGTAGGGATAGCTTTTTTTTTTACTTAAATATTTAGCATCTTACGCACATATATTTTTTTTCTAAATTTTACAAAGTCAATTTTAGTCATCTGTTAAGGAGGTTGAGATATTTTCGATAACTTGATAACATTTCTTGTAAGATTTTGGTGATTCTTGATCTTTTTTTTATACCGTGAGGTTAACAACATTTTCTTTAGAAACTGAAACTACCTACCAACGTAACTTCCCGTAAAAAATCTGGCATTGCTCATTATTTGTTTATCAATCAGTTTGTTGTGTATTTTTTGCATTTTTGGAGAATAGTTACACACTTAATAATATTATAATTATATAAATGTATTTTTTAAAAAAATTCTCATGTAAATGATTTTAAAATTAATAAAATGGTAAGATGGCTTGGTCGTTGAAAACAATAATTTATTCAGAAAGTTACTAAAAGCAAAAAGAAAAAACAGATAACAAAGATTAATTTGAAATGTGATGAAAAATTTCCTTCTGATATTTATATACCGATTATATTGTATAACAAAATATAAATATATTAATTTCATAAATCAATTATTAAACTAATGACCAAATTGATCAATTTACTTTACCATTTACCGAGTCCATTCAAAATATATTAGAAACAATGTATATTCCTAAATTTTTGTTGAAGTGATCATCTACATATCCTGAAATCTCATATTAGTAATCTTTCTTTTTTTATTTCCTCATTAAGAACGAATTTTATGGCTTTATTTTATAATTGGAAATTTCTTTAATTTGTTCTTTGTCCGGATAATAAGGTAGCTTTAATGGGATTTAATTTTTTTTTTGCATTTAATTAAAATCATGTGATTACTTAATAATATTTTTTTTTAAAAAAAATTGTACATTTCAGATATTTATTATTTATTTTACATGAATTGTTTAATCCCAAATTTTATGCAACCAAGAATCATAATTCTGATAAATATTCTAAAACTATATAGTTTCCATTTTTTATAAAGCCGATATAATTTAATAATTTAATTATCTAATAAATATAAGCTGAGTTCAAATAATGGGTAATAAAAAATAAAATAAATTTTATTATTTTCCTAAAGTATATAACTTTAAATAGTTTTTCTAACAGCCTTAAATACTTCGAAATTGAAGGTGATCTTATAGGTTTTTCATAAAGATAGCCATTACTTCTACAGAAACAACAACCATCTAAAGTGAAATCAGATTTTTCACTACGCATCCAAAAATCGCCAAAATGTGGTCCATAATAATTTTATAAATCTTTCAGACAGTTATAAATTGCATTTACCGATTATTTTTCTCTACTAAGAATTGAATTTTGTATATTATCATTTTTTTTTAATAAGAAAATAAAGCTATTTGTGCTTTCCGTCCATTTGCAAAAAGTATTTTTATCCCATGCCAATGGATTATAACCTCAAACAATTTCATCCGTTCCTTTAACTTTGCCACAACAACCGTGCAAACGTGACCATGGAAAATATTCCAAAATGTTTATGGTGCAAATCCATCTCGGGTTCCACGTAAGATTAAATCAAATTTGTATAGAACATTTGTTAAAGTATATTCAGTAGTCTTACGATCAATCCATGTAGAAATTTCTGCTGCATGTTCTTCAGAAATGATAGTTGAAAAAGATTCTCTCGGTGCTTCTGCACAAGGAAATAATTCTGTAACCAAAACTGATCTTAGCGTCTAAATAATGGATTTTACTGGTCGTTCAGGAGCTACTATATGCTGATTTATATCTTTCCAAAGTTGTTTATCTAGAATCTTTCTATATGGTTCAATTTTATCAAAGACTTTGATACCTGAAAGATGAAAATAACGAATATGTAGTAAACATTGTTGTAGAGTAGATTTTAATGCAAGAAAATTTTCCTTGGTCCAATCGTCAAAATTTTTTGAAGAGAGAAGTCTGAGAAATTCCCAATTTGATGACATAATCCCAAATTTTAATTTCTTCAATTTGCAAATCATCTCGTTTGAGGAGAGATAATAATGCAGATTCTTCGAGAGAATTAAAATCATCAGCTTCAAAAATTAGGTTTGGATACTTTACAATAATATCATTACAAAAGTTTTATAATTCTTTAAAATTGTTTCTACTTAAAATAAAACGATAAATAAAAGAAAAATGTGTCCTCAACCAGGAACCTTTAATTTCAATAAGAGTTTCTAATTCGCCAAGTTCAAATTCATCAGAAACTAACATTAAATCATAAATAAATCTAGTTTCACAATTTTTCAGATCAATAATTCCTCCATAGATGTATCTAAAAAATAATAAATTATAATAATAAATAAAATAAATTTCAATATATACAATAACATTATATAATCTTGATGATAACTTACTGAAGAATAACATTAAAAATTTGAGCAGAATTGCTTGATTTGATAATACTTTTAATATTATTTTCGTTTTCTTGAATATTTTCTAATTATGTACAATGAGAATTAGATCATATCTTGGTTAGAGCTTACATAAATTGCATTGTGAATATAAAGAAGAATCTTTTTTAATTATAATATAACAATTTTTGAATATAGGAAGTGAGTTTTCAGTTTGCTTGATAATAATAATTATTTTAATTTTTCGTTGATTTAAGAGATATTATATATTTGTGCCACATAAAAAAAAGATTTTTTTATATAACTAGCGATTATAAGTTAGGATTTTGTTATTCTTATTTTTGCATTTATGGAACAGGAAGTCCAATTCCTTTCTTTTTATCTCTTTGCTGCCATTTTAAACGAACAAAAACCATTTATAGTCTGGTATCATGGCATTTCAAATGGTTAACTTTTTTAATTAAAATATAATTAACTAATTAAATAAGTAATAACTATACAAGTAGAGTTATTAAAGTATAATGTCTATTAGTTGTAACAGGATTGATTACAATATTTAATGCTTCAATATAAGAGTATATAATAAAATAATAAAAGAAATAGTCAATTAGAATAGACAATTTTTAAATTTCAGCTCCTTGTATTAGAAAAAAATAAAGAATTAATTAAACAGAAAAAAAAATAATAGGCCTAAACAAGAACTCTCCACCCGAAAAGTCAAGTTCTGTGAAGTAAAATAATAAATAAAATAAAATAAAATAAACAAAATAAAAAAAATAAAGTAAAATAAAATAAAATAAAATGAAATAAAATATAAGAAAATGAAATAAAATATAATAAAATGAAATAAAATAAAATAAATATAAAATAAAATAAAAATAAAATAAAATAAAATAAAATAAAATAAAATAAAATAAAATAAAATAAAATAGAATTGAATGAGATAAAGTAAAATAAAATATATAACTAAAAATCTAAATTAGATAAAAACCTCAATTTTATTATTATATTTTCATGACATGGATAGATTTTCTATTTTATTATTTTTTTTCTAATTATTAATTTAAACACTCTAGGAAATGGTTCTAGAGCATCTGACAATGTCAAAATAATAAAAGAACGGAAGATGGCTTCAATTGATTTATTTCCGATTTGTATATTTTCTTTATTAAATTAATTCAATTTATCTTTATTTAATTAATTACTTTTAATGATGATGAACTAGAACAATTTAACACATCGATAATAATTGTATATCTTATTTCATTCTTTCAATACACATATATATTTACGAATATTTGCTTACATTATTTCTTTCAATATAAGCAAATTAGAAAATTTAACCAATATCAAAGATCATCATGCAAAAAATCTTCTGACATCAGCACATATTTAAGTTGGAAAGATAAATAAAATATATTAAAAAAAATAAAGATTTATAGAATATTTATGCGGTAAAGAATACCGTAAATAAATTTATAATGCATACAGATAATCCGTGTACTTTTTATTTATGGTACACTAGAATATTTAGACATTATTGAGATTTCCTTATTTGTATATTCATTATCATTGTTTACTTAATATAACGTGAACATAGTTTATTCGATTTTCAAGAAAATTTTTCTAGAATTACTTTAAAGGAGAATTAAGAGCACTTGAATTTAGAAGGAAAATTTAGAAATAAAATACTATAAAATCTTTTTTTTTTTTTTTTTTTTATTAGGATAATATTTATAGAACAATAACTTAACATAGCGAAAAATTCAATGGTTCTAGAAACCAAAAGATGAAAGAAATACCTTGTGAAATCTGATCTACATTTTATTATTTCGAAAGAATGTCTGCATAGAAAAATTTCGAGACATGAAATTTCTTAGTTTATGATTACTTTAGAAGAAAAAATGTATTATGTTACAATAAATAAAAATTATTAGAAATTTTAATTTACTAAATTTAAATAGTCACGGATAATAAATATTGTACAAATAAATACAAATA